GTGGTGCTTAAATACTGATAATGAAAGGTATTTAAAATAGATGAAAATAAACATTATAAAAATGAGATCATAATGATCTGTAAATGATTCTGATGTGACTGCTACTCTAATAATAAATAACTCAGCTCTTCTTCACTATAAAGCACTTCTTAATGAAGTCGTTAGTTGAAGCACTTGGTCTCAACTAATCCAGGCTGTCAGATATCTCACACTGCATTTGTGTTCAGGGGTTTGCCATTGAGTTTTGCTCTGTGAATTGTTTGTGTGTGCACATGCAAAAGAGGTGTACTTTGCTAATTAATTCCCAGTCAATTTTTATGACAACATCAGTGTTAGAAAATAAAAAAACAATGCAAAGTCATCTGAGAGAGGACAACAGAGGGAAGGTGTTCAAAAGGACGTGTTAGGCAGACAGAAATAAGAAGCCCTTTTAATGTCTGATCAATTATGCATGGTGTAGGCATTTCTGATCTTAAAAACAAACCAAAGCACACCAAACCTCTACAGTTTAGTTAAATTTCTGATCAATCATTTGCATTCGGAAGTGTCCAGTTCAAATAGACTTAGCTTATTATCTTGCAAATCAGACCTGTTCAAGCTTGCACAGAACTCCAGGCATTAATAAAATATTTAACTTTAGTAGGCACTTTCAGAATTACCTCGGTCTCTATCTTACATAAAAGTATTTGTACTTGAAGAAATAAATAAATGCTATACAATACATTAATAAAAGTAATGAAGATTAATCCAATACATATGGTTAAGTAATTGATTTTATTTCATTGTATCAAGTCATGCATTTGCCTGTCAATATGGCTACACGTAAAATGGTAGGCAACTAAACTTTTAATTCATTTCTTCTCCAGTTTTTTGCTAAAATACCTTACTTGTCTGTACAAACAATAGGCAGCCTCTACTGACAAATCATAGCAAAGTTAGTCACCAAGCAAAATTTACTAAACTCAAAAGCAAAACTTGAAGTGTTAGCACAAAAAAAACCCCAAACCCTGAGAGCACCAAACAAGAATAGTTTGTAATGCATAATCCCAGTTTTAAATTTAGAAAAATCAGAGCACCTCAATAAATTTTTGGCAACTACCATACTGGCATGCACCTGTGACTTATCTACCTGCTACATTTCTTATCTTCCTGCTATGGACACTGAATTGAAAGACTCAAGGAACATTAAATTCTTAGTTTTTGTTGTGCCGCATGTAGCATTGAGATAGGAGGTACTTGCCTGACCTAGCAACTGACACTGTGAGACAGAAAAACTAATTAAATGGCATGGCACCTTGCCAAGCGCTAACTGTAATGTGAAATAATAATTTGAAAAATTATCATTTAGTTTGAAGTTCTAGGAGCTGAATATAGTGTATTATTTCTACATTGTATTCTGCACAGAAGTCACTTTATAAAAAGCAACTCAGCATATAATTAAACATAGAAATACACACCAGTATGAAAGAACTCTGCAGACACATCAAGGCAGCAGAAGTGATGACAGTGTAGATCTGACTGTAGGACTGGGGCTGCTTCATGTAGAATATGACTAGATATGCCTCCATAGACATAGTAACTTGCTCTTCGGAACACTTTTCCTTGTGGGAGGCATTTAACTTTCTAAAGAGTCTCACTGAATAGCAAACATATGAACACTGAAAAAAAAAAAAAAAAAGAACCACCATCCCCAAATCAGTGAAAAATATGGGGTCCAATTTTTAAACTTTGGATTTCAAAGGCAAAACAGTGAGTATGCAGATCTAACAGTGATGGGCATAACACTGAAGACAAAGTAATTTTAATGCCATTCAGCTGAATCTCAGAAACTCAGGAAATTATAAAAAGAACCAATTCATTCAATTAAAAGTACAAGTATAAGTTACCAATTGGAAAATTACTCAGAAGTTCTTTTTTAGAAAGTATAGGCTGAATAAAACTTCTGCAAAATGCTCCATTCTAAAGAAAGTAAAAAAATGCAAAGATATTCTTCATAACTAATTTAGGGTTTTTTTGAAATTAGGGTTATGTAGGGGGCTGGGTTTTTTTAATCTGTCTGTCTCAGCTCCATGTTTCCAATAATTATCATGTCATTGACCAAGTCTAAACAAATTTGAAAAGGACATAAAAAGCCTTAAAAATACTCTATCCGGACACGTTACGTAGAAAGAGTTAGCTCAGTAAAGTACAGAGACTACTAACATCCACCCAAGGAGGAAAAAAATACAAAGTGCATTCAGTTGTTTATAAACAAAGCATTCTGTTTCAGAAAGGAAATGTCAATCCCTAATATTAAATAGCTACTTCAAACGTTATGTTATGTTTCAAAATGTCATCAATAAAAATTATACAGTACTACATGTCATGAAGCTATGTGAAAAATTTAGAAGAGTCAGGAATTTGAACTCTAATCTCTTCCATCACAGTACAGTAATTCTAGATAAAAGGCCACCCCATCACTCTGAAGTGTTACTGTAGTATAATGTTATTATACTTTAAGTGTATTACTAGGGCTGCATGTCAACAGGCAACAACACTAAATAAGTTACATATTTAAGATCACACTGCAATCAAATGTAAATTTTCTGTAACATCCCATTCTATAAGGTCATTGGAACAGATATGCAGCTGAGACACACGTGAAAAGATGATGATTGGAGATGATGGCAGAGAAAAGGAATATTGTTATTGTGATGTTCATCCCTTGCAGTACCAGATCTGGCTAATGTATACATCAGGATTATTCATCTTTCTTCCTTTTTTTAAACATACTGCTTTGCATTTGTATCAAATACCTCATTTCAATTTCAATTTACTTTTTGCTCTTCAAAAAGTTGTGAAACCTACAGTTGCCCTGTGCCAGCAAAAGTGTAAGAGGAGCGGGACTCTCGAAAGCAATTATTGTTCAAGCAACTTCGGTAAGGAAGCAAAGTTTGTTTCTTTTTAATTATTCACTTGGCACCGTGTTTTTAGACTCATAGGAATTTTACCAGATGTAGTTCGGAGTTGTCATTAATATGTAGGCTATATCTTTCACCATCTTGTGTGTGTATCTGACATTAGTAGCTGTGTTTCGCTCAATACGTTCTTGGAGATATTCCGAAATAGGCACTGCACATATGTCTCAAACAAACATACTTTCTCAATCTGAAAAGCAAATGACAATGTAAGACAACCTCCTACAGGAAAGTGTTGATTCAATTACTGTATTGTCATCTCATTTGTCTGTAACCAGCCAACACACATTTTATGCTGTACCTGCTGACTATTCCACAATTCAGTTTATAGACTTCCAAAATATTTTTAAAAGTTGTTCGGAGGCATGGAAGCTTACAAGCACTGCTTTCCATACAGAGACACAATTCACTCAGGAAAAATGATGTCTGCTGTATATTTGGATGGCTTTGTCACTGCTGATTTATTCAGTTACGTCTCAGAGTATTTTCCCATATTAATACTGGAAGCTTTTTTTAATCCCCTATAACAGACCTAAAAATTTGATGGGACAACTCCCTCCCCCCCACCACCACTTTTTGTTTGTTTGTTTTAATCTAACTTTCTCTAACTTTATAGCTAATCCCATGAGATTTGAGGAAATCTGCTGTTTCAGGAAAGTGGGAGCAGCTTTGTGTCATTTTGCTACAAAAACAGTTGAGGGCTGTGGCTGTACCCTAAAGCAGAACGGAGTCACTGCAGCATGACCCTTTACCACTCTTGACCACCAGTCTGTTTTAATTTGCAAACAGTACAGGCTGGCCCAAAACCAAAAGAAGGAAGGGAGGGCAAGAAAAAAAAGTTTCCTCTTACTGACCATACCTCAAGCTCTTGTGGTTGATGTTAAATGGCGCTACATAAAACTTCCTCTAGCATCAGGGTAATAAGTCACATTCTCTCTCACCTTTTGTCAAATACTTGAAATTTTTCAGTCGTTTCCATAGCATGAGTAAGAGTAAAAATATTTTATATGCACTGTGAATGTAAGTGTATCCTCAGGTAAGAATAGAAACTGTGCTTTTTGTAGAATATGATTTATTCCAAGTTTATTTGCTGAATTTATGAATTTAGAAAATAAGAGCTATTTCTCTTTCATCATGCATTTCATTTTTATTGTTTCTAGAAATATAACTGCAGTACCCAGCATTTTAACATCCACAGTTCTCTCTTGATTGAACATTCCCATTTAATTAAAACCTCTGGATTAAAGGAAGATAATGCACAAATTTACAAACGCCTAACCCAACATGTGGATTATGCAGATTTGCAAAATAAATCTGGCTGCACATACTTGATAACTGAAGATCTAATTGATCCTAGGATAGAATAGCTTATTTACAGAAGGTGATCTGAGAAAAAAATATTGCTAATACCATTTACCATTCCCTTGTGACAAATAAAGATGGCCTACAAACTAATCTAGTGATCCTAGGAAAAAAAATGGTATCTTTATTTTCATACTGAGAGGTCTTTGGGAGATACGATGGTCTAATCTGTAGTCTAAATTTAGGTGAAATGGGCAAATTTGTATCAGTATCAGGCCTCGGACAGAACAAAATCGAGCTCCTAGGGCATTAACTATTCCCTGCTACTCATTTGAGACTGTCAGAGAGCTGAGAATTCAGTTCAACTTCTCCACTGTTTTCAAATTAGTAATTAAAAGTAGTATCAAATTGTACTGTTCAATTGAAATTATCAAAGCTTAGAACTGGGCTTGTAACAGGCTGATACATTCCAAGAAGAGTTTTATATTTGGTGCCACCAAAATTTGTCAGTATGACTTATCTATTACAGGTGATACCCACATTTTCAGTAACTGCTTCCAGTATTGTTTGTTTCCTTATTATGGACTAATATTCACTTTTTATGATGCCTCAAAATTTAAGTCTTAAAAATAATAAAAATGTATCAAATGTCTTTTCTTCTAGTAATAACTGGAACTGTAATCACAGCAATAACGAGGGCTGGCAGTCTGCATGCAACAATATCAATCATTAATGTATATAAGGAGGGAAATTTAGCAATTCAACAAGCTGGCAAGAGTATGAGTGCCAAGATTATTGTTGTGTGTAAGCAATGTCCTCTCATCAGAAGAGGTAAGTACACAAAAATAACTCCTCTGTGTGTTTATAAGAGACAACAGTTTTGAAAACTATTATTTGAAATATGACCACAAAAAATCAGTAAAATTACAGTAATTGTTTCTATAATCAGCAACTAATATTATAACCAATTTAAGGTAAAAATAACTAATTATCCAGGCTTATATTGTATTTTTAAGTTTTACTTACAAAGGATTAGACTCACTTAGATGAAAGGAGTTTGAAAAAAAACTGTTTTTTTCAAACCCACGTGATATAAAGAAAAATCTGATTTGGTTCTCTCAAATAAAGCTCAGTTAGATTTTGTTTTTACATGTATGTATTTTGGAGCTAGTTTTCATACACAGTTACTTAGAAGGAAAAAACAACAGTATGCTAAACCTAGAAGAGGTTGTCTGCCTTCAGAGAGCAGTATGTCACAGCAAATGACAAAAACCAACATGTTTCCCTGTTGCTTCTCTCCTGTATATATTCATATCTTTACTGTAGAAATACTAGTCGTATTAAGCCCACTCTATATCTGCAAACAGCCAGTATTACTATAGCTATCTTAAACAGTATTATACAGAGTATATCAACGAAAATCATTTCCAGTTAAATGTAACAAGGGGTACCTATATGGTGTTATAAGAAATACTGAGACTATGTTTCATTGAAGTAACTAAGTAAAATGTAAAACAGCTTTCAGCTCTGCCTCCTGAGTAAACAGGTAGAACAGGAGAACATAAACGGAACCATAGCAGGAAACAGTCAAAATAATTTAGTAAGCATCAACCCTGCTAACATTCAGGATACTACTGATATTTAAGCATGTTAATTCAAAGTGGGCAGTACCAAAGTGAAAAGCCCTTGTCAGAAATTAGCTTTTGCTTTTACCTTTAGTTCTCTGGAAACTAGACACCTGTCTGGGAGACAGAATAATATCCTTGCTGGAACGAATTGTCTCCTTTTAGGCAGACCACTGGCTCCAAACCACATTCTTCTGTTTCTCTTCCTAAATCTCCCTGAATTATTTAATAGCCATTACTTAATATCTAAAGTTTTCTGCTTATACCCCTATAACACCACTCCTTCCAGCCTAAGGCCTTGCAACCCCCTAACCCTTCTAAGCCATAAAAATACGAAAATCCATCCAATTTCTCCAAAGCCAGGGCTTATCACACATTAAGCCCACCTTGCTTGCCTGACTGCCTCTCTGTATATCTAGAAAATGTTTATGTCTTTGGGGGAGGAAAAGGGAATGAAAAGACTTAAGTGCATTATCCCTTAAGTGCCTTGTCCTACAAGCTGAGCAAATGAGAAAATATCCAAAATGAATGAGAAGCATTACATTTTAGGTGTTAGTAGCTAAGTCACCCAGTGTTTATACTGCATTTTTAATGTCTTTCGGATCATTTGACAGTCTACATTTAATGAATATCTCCTATATATTTTATTATGTGGTAGTAGATGCTTATCTACCTGATTTTTACGTAACTGTACTTTGTTGCATAACAAGCATGGCAAAGATGGGTAAGGAAGTATATGCTTTAGGTAAGAAGGAAAAAATGTTAGAAGGCATTGGTAACAGAGGGCAAATTAATAGAGAGCACAGATAAAGAACTATACTTACCAAATCACGTCCTGGATTTCTGTCTTGTAATATCGTGCTCTCCTTTGTAGGTTTAAACTACATCATCATGGGCCAGGTAGAAGAAGACGGTAGAGGCAAAGTCTTTCCCAACAGCTTTGTCATGAGTTTTAAGACTAAGAACTCAAAGATCCTAAATGCCTTGAAAAACAAAACATGTTAAAACTAAACTCTGCAGCTGCATTCTATCATCTTTCTTGAAAAATACCTTTCACTTACTGTAAGTAATGAAAATACAACTGACTGTCAACACTAAGACCATGCTCAACCTTTCTTCCTCCCATCCACCTAAGCACACCCTGGCACAAAGTGGTATCCATTCCATGTACCTAACAAGATGAGAACAGATCCTCCTAAGTCTTAAAGCTGAAGATTTGCAGCACAGCTATCTGACGTCAAACATACCAAATTCCAATTACTTGGAAGCTGTTAATTTATAATTGTCCAATTTTTTAAGGAGTTGTGTATGTAAAATAAGAATTCTAAGTGCAATATTTATAGTAACTCATTTTAACTTAGCTTTTTCTCTAAAGTTGTTTTATTACATGGATTTCTGCATTATGATCTGTGCTTAATAAAAAATTTTAAGATTAAATCATACACCAACTAGTTATTCATTATGTATAAAGTGGGACAGGCTAAACATAGAAACTCTTTTTTGCTCATTTACATGCTTTTGATGCTTTGGGTCTTGCATAGCATGACTGATACTACACTTCCTTGCTGACTAAGGGCCTGATTTTTTTTCCATTGAAGTCAGTGAATCATTGATTTCAACAGGAACTGGATTTACTCTTCAAAGAATTAGACAACTGTAGAACAGCACCATGCTTTTCTCTGCTGATGACTATAATCTATTTAGTAAATGCCACTATTAAGTTCCCTAAGGTAATTAGGGAGGAGGTAGGAAGGAATTAATTTAATGGCAGTAAAGTACACATGCAAATAGTGTTAAATTTTTGTCTCTACTGCAAATGGATGGACGATATGCTCAGTCTGGCACCAGTAGTGTAAACAATAGCATATCTGTCTCATTTATTTAATTCCTATATGCAAAACATTGAACAAGTAGCTATTTTGAGAATAAGGGATGGAACAGACTGGAAGCAGTTAGACAATGTTATAATGTTAAGAGATCTTTGTCAGATCTGTCTGTTGTATAGAGTTATTTGTTACTCTGAAACTGAAAGGTTATAACCGAAGATTGAGGAATAGAAACAGATTATAGGTAAAGATTGATACTGAGAAGCTGGAGAACATTTTGGTCAAAAGCAGGTATGAAATGCATGCTTCTCAAACCGGGTAAAACTTGAACACTAATAAAAATGACATGGATGGAACAAAATCTAAGATCCCTTCAAGTACTTGTTTTCCTCATATATAAATACCATAGCGGTGTTCTTCTGACAATCTGTAACCACAGGCAGGAAACTGTAATGAAAGGCACAGTCCTTATTCACAGCACTCATTGCTTATTTCAGCAATGGAACGTGGATGGCCATTCTCCTTCAGTTATTGATTCTCATACCTAATGCCAAGAGGTACTGCCACAGCGCAACTCGGCAGCACAGCAGCGTCTGTTCCGAAGACGTCATGGGTGGCTAGGCAGGAGACAAAAGAATCAGAGGGAGGCACAAAGGTACAAAAAGGCTGTGCTGGCAGCTCACATCAAACAGCTCGGCGCTGTAACCACACAGTACAGATTGCTAGGCCTTTGCCTTACTGACTAAGCCAAACAGCATTTCTCTATGGAAATGACAGCAACATTTGTTTGCAAAGCAGACGTAATTTTGTAATTTAAAAAATTTTAAATTGTAATTTTAATTTTCCAGTATTGATTCCTATGCAGATTAAGGGGTTTTATGCACAGCGCTCTCTGCATTTCTCAGCGGCAGCCTGGGGAGAAGCAATGTGGAAATCATGCTCAGAACTGTCTTGAACTACAATAATCTATTTTTATTTATGATGACATGACCATCTGTCACGCAACTTTTTTCAGTGAAGCAAGGAAAGCCTGGCAGCCTGCTCCTCCTCTCCCAAATGGCAGGGAGGGAAAGCTCCTGCCTCTCTTCTCAACACTCCCTCTAGACCAGTTTCTTTCCGAAATCGAAGCACTGACAGCAGTAGCCCTGCAACAGGGAACAGGAGCCAGGACTTAAAGAAACACAGAGCAGTGCCAGTTTTCTCAAGTAAGAATCGGTTACAAATCATAGGTAACAACTATTACAAGTTTTTAAAAGCAGATGTAGTGACTGTAAACTTCAGACATTTAAAACCCAACCTGCAACCAAACAGAATGAAAATTATCGAACCGAAATACAATTTCTGAAATAATTTCAACAGAAATAATAACCAAAACCATCGTTTAGCAAGAGCATAAAGTAAGCTGACTTTCAGTAATGAATGGTTTTGACCTTTCTGCTGCAAATGGAGGTAGCATGAAAATTTCCATCTCTGTTTTTCATTCATCAAGGCAAAGTTAGCTCTCAGACAAAACAGACGTAAACACGAAAGGAAAGAAAAACCAACGTTTTTCAGTAGTCTCAGAAAACCCACTTAGTCCTTTCATGACTTGCACTAAAATTTGTACAAAGAAATTCTGAATCCTATAGCTGAGTAAACTCCAGCTTCCCCAAACTCTTCTTTTTTTTTTTTTTGACATCCCAGTTTAAAAGAAGCATCACAGACACCTAAAATTTTGTCTCTGTTCACATCCATAACCATTCTGTGAGTGTGCATGAAGGAGATCTCGGAGCCCCAACATCTGCAGACTACTTTTGGAACAGCCACTATTAAATTGCCAAATGAGAAAGCAATAGCGTATTTAATACACGTGAACTAGGAAAATCTAAATGGTAAAACAAGACTGACTAACTAGTAAAAGCAGTCTGTATTGATTAGTAGCCAAGTAGACAGGAAGACTGCAACAGCTTTCAAACAAGGCAGAGATGCAAAGTGTCATACAACTAAGGTACTACGGAGAACAAACTTCTCTCTCTCTGGTATTTATCACTTTACAGGTATGTATTCCAGGGACAAATAAAAATTCTGCAACCCCCAGATCCAATCCAACCCCCCCAAAAGTGCCTTGAAATAAGACAGTTCTTCCCAAGGACACCTCTACACTGTAGTAGAACACAGTGCCACGTGACAACGACCGAGCTAGCTCTGAGTGACTCTGCTTAACATATCGAAAGCAATTCCAAATAGCGACATTAGCATGCTGCTTCATACAGATAAACATACCCAGCTTCCCAGAAGCACTGAACAGCGTGAGCCGAGTGCCCAGCAGCTAATACTGCATCCTGAATCCAACCTAGCTTGTTTGGAATTAGCTCAGGTATCACGTCATGACGCTGCATGAAGCCATTTAAACGAACTTAAAGTTAACAGGATGGTTCCACAAGAAAGAAAAAAAAAAGGTAATAACACATTAATACCAGCTACCTTCCTTAAACTTATTATCGTAACATGACAAAGAAATTACTTCCAATATGGTACCTGATATAATGTGTTTCAAATATAACTAATATTAATACAACCATTTTTTTCAAAGAGCTTTTATTTGTCTGCTTCCTTTCTTGGGTATACATAACATACACAGCACATAGTTTTTATGTTGGTGTATTATTCAAACACGAGATCTGAGTCCAAATATAAAATTCAGTGATCCTCTTTGCTTTGAACACAAGAGGTTAGCTTCTTATTCACATGAAAAGCCAACAAACTTATCAGAATACCTCTATACTATAAGACTTCTGGAAGCAGAGTATTAAACCCTAGTTCAGATATACATAATTTCATAGTACAGAAAATATATTACCTTTACAAGAAAGAGTTTTATAAGAATTCCTTCCAAAAAGTAAACATTCATGTAAGCCTCCACTCTATCAACCTCCCAAAATCAACTGTAGTCAAAGACCACTATGGCTACCTGCGCCTTCTGGACATAAGACCATTTTAGAAGAGCACCATCATCAACAGTAAAATTGTCAATCAATCCTTTAGCTGTCATAAATATACTTATTTCATAATTAAAAATACAGGAACCTCACACTTCTCAATTACAATTTGTCAACTTGAATTATGTATAAGCATATAAAGCCATATAGGACCCTCTAGCACAGAAAATCCACAAAGCCCTTACTGTCCATTGTGAGCAAAGTCAAATCAATGTTTTCACAAAACATAGTATTCCTGACACAAAAAAAATGTTTAGCTTGGCAACAACTGTGGTAAAAAAAAAAGGAAAAAAGAAAGACAAGTTTAAAAGTAGGATATATAAAACCTGTCTAAAGCAGGCCCTTCCAAACGACATCTGTCCAATGACCAGATTCAATGTATGTTCTCACAGAAAGAAGTGTACAGTGTTCCACAGGAATTGTTCAGCATTGCAAACAGCAGCACTCACGTGCTCCACCTCATTTTTGTTAAATCACAGGTTTTAATAACTCAAATAATTTATCATCCAGATTTAAAAAACCCAAGATATTAAACATTAAAAGTTTACAGGTTAGTTTTAAAATTCTGTGCCCAATCTTAACATGTATAGTAAAATGTACTTTTGAGGCACCACTGAAAAATTCCAGCAGGAACCATAAACATTCAAGAAATGGTTGGTCTGTTTTGAGTTCAAAATTTCTATGTTCCCAGGAAAGGGAAGAGACTTGATGATTTGCTTTTCTGTATTCTACAAATGTTAGCATACAGTCAATGGTAACATACAAAACTTGGCACTAGAACTGCCTCTTTCAGAGCCATACAGTCTTTGCATGCACTGTAACCTACAGTCAAACATAATTTCCAACTGTGCTGGAAATTTTCTATTATTCTATATCTGACTTTTCTATTAAAAATAAACATAGGCTGGACTTTTGTCTTAAAAAGCCTATCTTCTCCCACAACTTGAAAAAACAAGTATCAAAAAGGAACAAACAGCAAAAATAGAAGAAATAAACACATTGTGCTAGTTCTGAAGCTCTTGACACCTGACAGCCACAGTCTGAGGAACATTAAAAAAACTCCTATATACAAATTTTATATACACACTAAGATTAAGAGCTTAAGAAAATTACTGTATCTGTTTTTGCATTTATTTCCACCACTTCTGCATCTAGCTGCAACTCATGCAAACACATTTTCAAATCGTATTGTTGTGCAATAATCTCCTTTTCTATTTGGTCTGGCAACAGAATTAGGTCAACACTTTCACCTATAGGTATCTAAAAGTACACACTTCTTGTTTAAAAGTTAGGCCTTAGTTTCTTGGATAAAACATAGCATATTTAGAAGTTCGAAAGCCAAGCAGGTCTCTCATTTCATTTCGGAATTTTGACAAGTCTTGCCGCAGTTCATTTAGGTTTTCCACAGTTGCCTGATCCGTGCTTTGCATCTTCTGTCTCATGGAAGTCAAGTAACGGTGGACTAAGCAACACATCACCTTTTGATAATTCTCATCTCTCTTTTGCTTCAGATTTCTCCATTCCTTTAAACAAACATTACACATTTACTACGGAAAAGTGATTTTTGAGCCCTAAAGCCTGTATACAATTATAGAGAGAATAAATATGAACAAAATAACAAAGCTATTTTATAGATACATCTCAATGCACACAAATGTACAATGCATGGAAATTGCCAGCAAAATTTAATTTAAATTATAATCTGCTGTACCAGCAAAATTGAAAATTTTTAATCTATCTGGCTTGGTAATCGTCCTATGAGCAGTTAAGAGTTCCATAATCCTGAATGTTTCTCAGTGCACGTTCCATAAAGTCTTTGAATTTAGTTTATTTAATGCTATTTTTATCAGCAAGAAGATGCAAAATTAGTATGCAACATTACAGGGTACAAAAAAAATTGTTTATTTAACAAAAAAAAAAATCCCTCCCCTCAACAATGACAGGCTTCAGTGATCCTTTTTGGTTATTTATTTTGACACTTCTGTAACATGTTTAAAACCAATTATCTTCCCCAAAGAATACTCTACTCTCACCATTTTTGAGATTAGCACATACTTCTCCTTGAGGTTTCTATGAGTTTTCAATCAATCAAGGCATTTTTTCCAGACTATTTCTGGAGGAACTAGGGTTGGAGGGAAGGGGGTTGAAATTCCCAAAACTAAAAGTTAATAGAATCTTCCTTAAGTAGAAATAGGTAACACTTATTCATTTATATTTTGGATGCCACACACATTATTCTATAGTTCCTATTTATCTTAGTAGCACTCACCATGTGACACGCAGCTTCACGCAGCAATTTGCTGATTCATTTTAGCAAGCAGCACCTTTCCAGCTTCAGAGCCTACAGCTTTCCCAATCATTTCTTACCTTTAGGCTGTTCTGACGTTTCACTTTGCCACTTGATGTATGAGAGCAGATCCATTTACTGAGACTGTTGAAAAGATAACAGATAGTCTTGGGAGAGGGAATAACATTGAAAGGTGGAGGTAGCGTGCATTTGTCATCAAAGTAGCTAAGCCAAAGCTTGGCACGAGCAAACTTCCATTCCTTATCTTCATGATTCTAAAGCATCAGAAACATTAACAGAGATCAGAAGCAAAAATATTAACAGGCTATTTCATAAGTGTTATTTTCCCATACTTTAAAAACTGACCATTATTTCACTTTGATTATACAGTATTTTAATGTATAGATCATACAGTATTTTAATAAATTTGTTACTAATATTAAATAATTCAAATACAAAACAAATCAATTCACTATATACTCTAGTGTAAATTCAAAATTCAGCTACGAAGGTATAAACCCCCTATCAAATGCCCAAGCACCACACCTTATCAAGAATAGCATCTTGACTTGAACAGCTATTGTTATCGAGAAATTCTTCAATCCCCAGAGGGCCAAAGCCTTGCACATGTTCAACATGAAAAGTATCCATTTTATTTGGATCAAAGCAAACAAAATGTTCATATTTGAAGGAAAGATGCCCCTTGTGAGCTCAGAGACAGAGCTCATCCATGGAGGTCTGTAGATTAGTCTACACATCATAGGAAGAAATTCATATAAAATCCAAAGATACAGCTAGCAGTTATTGGTAATTAATCAGAAACGACTTACTGCTATCAGCTGAAAACTTTTATGAAGCATTGCCACAAGGAGTTTAGTTAATACTATCACAACCACCACATTGTAGGTGCCAACAATAACAGCACCCACAAAAGACTGTAATTCTTCACCATAGCTAAAACGTGTGACAAAGATTGCTACATGTGCCAGGGAGAATATATACCAGAACAGAGCAAAACATGTGCCAATAAACCTACAAAAACAAGAAAAAAAAAATCTGGTTAGGTAAAGCAAACATCAAAAGTGAGTCTACTTAATGTAAATTCAAATTCAGTAAATATTCCAGTTTTGTTTAATTACCAGGAATTAAGGGCTAGAACAATACAGCTATTGCACAGATATCAAACTCACGAATGGAATGTGTCATTGCTCTGCTGTTCACAGAAAATCCCCGCACAGTCCTTTTCTTCATTTACAGTAAATCCTTTATCATAAAGTTGCGTCAATCCAATTGTGAACGAGAACAAGACAAGAAGAAACATGCCCAGAAATTTTCCAAAATCTTGTAGCATCTGCCCCATTGAAATCTGTGAAATAGATTTATTTCCAATTTTAGTAAAACATGTAGTTATTTTTGTTTGTATTCTCCCCTTCAGCCTCTAATCAAGAAAAAAATAGCTATTTACATTTTAAATGTTTAACTTAAAATTTAAGATGCTAAACAGACCCAAAATCAGGAGATACCCTTATACCATTTTTCAGTGAAAAATTCTAGATGTTAAAAGAAAATTTAAGTAGTTTTAACATCACCTGATAAGTTCATATCTTTCAATTAACTATAAGCAATAGTATGTATACCTTATTCTTTACTTGTAGTACCAATGGCAGTAAGGAATTCACAAGTCAATAGATAAAAGCAGTAAACGAAATGCCTTTTAACATAAATACCATCATAGATGAGGACACTGAATTATGATTCCAAATGTTTTGATTAATTAATCACTAATCGAAAAATAGTACAGCAAAGCCCATCTGCAGAACACAGAATTAATTCACTGTATGTTTTATGTAAGATTTTAAATATACACAATGCGTAGGTGTGTAAGCACATAAAAATTGAAGGGTGTAAAGTATAGAAGGTAAGACACTGAATTCAGATCGTTAGTTTCCATTTCAAAATATCCCATACAGAAGCTTGCAACACTACAAACACAATATCTTAAAGAAAAAAAATTATGCTTGTGTATTTTTCCAGTGCAGAGAAGACCTTGACTTACTTTTGTCATAACCACAAATTTTTACACAGACACAGCATAAACACATTTTTAAATTTAAATTACTCTTCCTAGAAACTTCTTCAGAGAACAATATACCATTATAAAGAATGCAAATATATAAAATGGGGTTGGGTAAATCTAATCTTCTATATAAATCAGCGTGTGGAAAGCCTAATCCTATATGAATCACAATCTGTACCAAATCATAGTCCAGAATTGTATCACTGGTCAAGTTTTGCAAGTACAAGTTTACTGGGAGATGAAGTGCCAACTCCTGCTCCCTCCCATGCTGCTGGAAACTCACTGAGTACCCCTGTTGAGCAGCAGATTCTCTCTGATTCTTTGCAGTTTACGGACATGAAGAATCTGCAACTGTAGGCAGAGCTATGCAGTAATTATTTCATTTGGTCAGAGGATGAACATAATCCCCATCATACTGCTTTATCACATCTACCCTTTTAAAGGAAAAAAAAACAGCAAAACCAACAAAACACTAACTGACACATGGCTGCAAGCAAGAGAGAGACAAAGTAGACAAACAGGAATGCAGAAAAAGTACGAACCACCCAAAACTCTTTGGTTTGGAATAGAGTGTAACAACACAGCCCAAATACCAGTTGCTTTCTTCATATAGTCATGCTCTTCCTTTCTAAGTATTTAGAATTTCTAAGCATTTGAAATCTAAAGGAACTAATCTACGGGAATATTATTCTATCTTCTGTTAATAATAAAACACCACCACACACAGCCGACTTACAAATCTGTATTAAAATTTGTTTTATTAATCAATAAGTAAAGTAGCTGAATGCTTAAAAATAACTCTAATAGCCAAGAGAACACAGTAGCTGCCTTTCCCTCACACACACTGTTGGGTTTCCATGCCGTATTTGATTACCACCATTTGAACTTTGTGACCTACTTTCAGAAAATACTGTAAGAGTTGTTGCACAAGCTGTACTGGCCAACAGTAATAACATAAGCTTCAGTGTGCCACTGAATGGGGTGACTGTTGACTGTTTTTATTTACTTGGAAAATTTCATAACATAGCCTCCTAATAAAAAACTTGTGAAAGATCTAGTACATAAATAAATATGCACATTAAACATTGAATCTCTTTAAAATGTGGAGAGACTTCAGTGTTCAGTCAATTTGTATAACAAGCCTAATGCTTACTGCAACATCAAGACTTCAGTATTTTTTTCAAAGTATGCAAGTACATTTCCATTTAAAAATGTACAAAAGAGAAAATATAAGAATAATTAACAGCAACATAGTCACAGCTAGAGACAAAAGGGCACGAAGTAAAACAAACAAACAAAACCCTGAGAGGAGAAACAGGCATCTTCTAATAATATTAAACTGGTTACAAGAACTATGAACATTCTTTTTAAAGCGCTTTTTACGATGATTTTAAAAAGACCAATTTAACAAACTATTATTTTTCTTTTCAGAGAAGGACTATTCTGTATGAAACAAAAATATTCTAGAAGATAACTATTTGTGCAGCAAGATAAAGTACTCTAACTCATTAAAATGAGCTAAACCTTCAAGCTGGAGGTTTTCAGCTACATCCTAAAGCCTTGATACAAGACCTAGTGATCCGAGCCAAAATTATTTACTTCAGAACCTCCTTTGATATAGCTCTAGTTGCAGAGCAAGAGTTAAAAAATGCTGCTCCCAAATATTTCTGCCTTTATGCTTAATAGGGATAATGTTCTTTGCAGAATCCTTTCAGATCATCCTCTTGCCACAAAGCTCTTAAAACTAGTCCTGTTCACTAGAAGAGAGGACGAAGCATCGATATGACCTATGAGGACAAATTCCATCAGTATAATCACTGGATAACCACCCTATTTATTCCAAGCGTCTTTTCATTCAACAGACACTTGCAAAGCCGGTGATGATGTTGACAACCAGCTATATTAACTAAATTGTATCACTATCAAGAGGAAAATAAATAAACAAATAAATTAAAAAAAAAAAAAAAATCATTGGTTCAAGGAAGCAGTGACTTGTCTGATCTGATTTGTTGTCATAAATCTCCCAGGAAGCGAGGCCAGAGAAGCTGGAAGTATACCTACGCAAAGCTTTTTTCAGTAAGCTATGCTTTTAATAACAGGTGCTTTAGTTTGTAAGGGCTTTTCACTGGCAAAGTAACAAAATCAGTCAGTGCTGAGGACTCAAGCTGAACAGAAAAACCACAGAAGGGAAAAAAATGTTGCTAGTGGAATAAGAGGCAACTTCTGCTCACAATATTTTTAGAGGGAAGCTTTCTTCCTCCTTTTAGTCTAAAAAGGATTGAGGGAGGTAATTGCATCCTAAATGTGATGTCTTAATAATAGTCCAGGTTCCCTCCACTACTCCCAAAGGTACTAGACCTTCTGCATTGTGTCATATTGCACCCTCGGGTCCAACCAGTTTATCTGAAGTTTATCACGATGAATAGCACCAAGACTAAGATGAGAGGGTCTGTGCTTAAAAAAAGAAACCAACTAACAAAAAAACACCACATGGCATAAACTCAGTAGAAAACTCCATGTCTGCTCTCAAATCAGGAAAATAAAATTAAATTCTTTGCACAAAACCAGATTAAATTCCAACTTTAAGTGAAAAAATTGAATTCAGCTTAGAAATTGTTGTGGTCTCTACTGTTCCAGCATCGCAACACAAGACTGTTACTGCTTCCCCCCCCACCTCTGGATGACTGAATTAAATGTATTACATAATTAAAGTGTGGGGGGTTTTACTGTCAATATTACTCACTGGAAGGCTCCAGCAAATTCCAAGTAAGAAGAAACCTGTTCTCCCTTCTTATAACTGGCTCTAAATAGATGACTGTTTCAATAGTCTTGAGAGATTTGTATTTTTGAAACCAGAGCAATTTGCACCATTCAACTCAACACGAAACTTCAGTGAGATCACACAACATAAACAGAAAGGCTTTTGATTACTCTTCCCTTGCTACACATCTCATTCATTAGAGATGATGAGATAACTCGTCTTATATCATTAGAGATAAGAAGTTAGGACCATAATTTGCATAGAACTTTACAGGAAGAACCTGATCCTTACAGTTTTCAAACTGCAGACGCTTATGCAGTATGTTAAGCTAACAACACATGAAAACAAAAACACAGTACAGGTACAGTTACCATGGAAAAATATTATAAGAAAGTGAACTACACTAGGTCTTCCATTCTTTTTCTTACCTTTTTCCATCTAAATCAGTATGTTTTACATGAGAGAGTAAAAAACCAAACTTCAATGCAATATCACTTCTTTCTACTTCTTTCTTTCTGACTTTCTTACTTTAATTTCTTGTTTTTCTCTTTTCAGTAAGACTCTTTATAGCAAATTAAGATCAAGTTTAATATTTTCTCAAGCAGTAATGATATTCACCTGGAGTGGTCCCAGAATAGAGCTGGTTGTGTACATGAAGAAGAGACGCAGATAACTAAGAACATTAGCAAAAGCAAAAAGACCTTCTGCCACTAGGGTAGGATGGAATGCATCCCAGTCCTTCCTTTCAGCATAATCATGAAACTGCAATATAAAAAGGACAAGCTGACATCACTGACATTATAAATACATAAATGCACCCATGCACCGCTCCCTACTTCTGCCTCCAAAACAGGCAATAGCATAACAGAAATTAACACATACCATTCATAAATGGCTTATCTCTTTCAGATATCTCACTTTTTTTAGACAAAGGCATTTTAAAAGCCATTCCAGAGGGAGCCAGAAATCAGATGATTTAAATTCAACACCTAACCCTGCCACTCCCTTGCTCAGCAAACCATTTATTCCTCTGTTCCAATTTCCCTTCTACTCTTTTGCACGCTTTGTTGAAACAGGGACTCGTGTACTTTATGAACATGTGCATTGTCTAGTGTAATAGGCCTCAGTCAAAAACAACATTAAAATGCTGCAAAGAAAACTCATGTAGACATGCAACTGCAATGTGATGACACCTGGTCTTAACCAGTTTTAGAAAGATTTAGAAAGACTTAGGACCTGGGCTTCCTTCAATGGATTTTATGAATGACTACAGAGAATGGAAATCAGAAGTAAACGGTTGGTGTAAACACACCCTTAAAGTATATCCACTAGGTACTATTCAACTGTTCACGGAATATCCACAGATCCCTAACTTTCGGCTTGGCTGAAAACATTCAGCATTTGTATTACCAGCTTCTGCTGTCTCAAAATAGACTTTCAAAAACTAAGGAACTCGAAGCTGCTTTAAAATAACTTGCCCAAAAGTGTGCTGCACAAGGATGGCAAGAAACAGGGATAAACATGGTTTTATACATTGCAACTGCATGGGTATGAATCCTGCTACAGAAACTCTTCCTTTATTTCTTACATCTTCAGTGCCTATAATATGGACCTAAGACGTAAAACAAGCATTTCTATTTGGTTTTCTAAATAATTTATAAACTATATGGCAAAATTTATTTTTATAAAAGTGGCCAAAAAAGCCATCACGTGCCTGTTACATAGGACAGGAATCCTGCATTTTCAGAAAGGTTACAACTTAAATTAGCAGCAAAGGGCTCTTATCTCAGCAAAGGAACTACTACTACAGACATGTGCTGGTTGCAAAGCAAATGGTTGGGAAGGCAGCCCAACATGGCATTCTCTCTGTGTTTTTTTTCCCAAGAAATGAAGCTTTCCTTTCCAAATGATTACCAGCCTCTGAATCAAGGCAAGGATAGGTAAATGAGCCAAACACCAAGTTGGGAAGAACTGAACCAGTTTATTTCCCTCCCAACTGCCAGACAGCTGCCAACTCACAGTCTGCAATACAAAATAATGGTGCTACTGCACTGGCTTGAATTTTGCTAAAATATTCATATTCAATGGGTCTGGCAGCTTGCCATGTGCTGTGCAGCTAACAACACATGCAACAGAATGGGAATGATCATTTTCAAAACCTGTATCTTCAATCAAATCCAGATGGTTTTTCACAGAGAAAAGACAAGGCTCCTCTACGGTCTCAGGGCTTTTTTCCTTACTACCAAAAAAAAAACCAAACCCGCAAACAAAAAAAAACCCACCAAACCAAAAACAATTTAAAAAACCCCCACAACCACTTATGACATTTCAACATATGTAATCAAAAGCTAAATAAAACTTTCTGTAACGAAAAAGTGTTAGGCAATCTAAACACAGAGATTACTATTAGCTTTCTGCATAGCACTGATCTATGGAATCAGGCGAGCTCAAATGCCCATGAGATGAGTGGTATGAGGAGATTTCCCCAAAGCAGAATCAAGCCATGTGGAAGACCAGCCAGTTCTTGCAATGAAGACAGTAACCCTGTTTAGGGTCCCCAAGTACTTGGACATGTCTTGATGTGTTCTCTAACTCCCATTTGCCTCAACAACTTCTCTTTCAAGCCCAAGACACAACAAGACCAGAGATCTTGACAACTACACAGCATATACCATGTAGAACATTTAACTCGGAAGCCTAAACTGTATCCATATAGTAGGCTATTACTAATGTAGTACCCTTAACTACAACATACTACTACTAACATACCACACATAACATATCTTCACGTATTTTGCAGCAATGTACTAAAATTATATTTGCTCAGTCAGTCCCAAGAAGCTTTAAATCTATGAAGATGGGTGCTCACCTTGTTATGGGCAACGACTTTGAGGGCAAAAGTTGCCAAATACAGGGAATTCATGACAAAACTGAGCTGATTACGGGATTCTTCTAAAAAGTCTTCTAAACCATCATACCAGAGTCTTTTAACATCTGACCACACCATTCCTGCAGGAAAAAAAAAAAAAGCAAGCCAGGGAAGTCAAGCACTGTATCGCACTGAGTAGATATTCTTTTACAACTAAAGCACTTTTGATTGGCTTTTGTAAATGATATGCCAGCAAAGAGAAAGAAGTGGAGTAATCTAGTAAATGTACTAAAAGCATTGCATTGCATTACAAGCACTAATCATAAGACAAGGAGGTGTTTAACCTTTTCAAGCCTACTTTCCAACTATGAAACACACCCTCCAATAAAAAAGGGCATGAGAGGAAATGAATAGGAGAAAAATTGGGCAGGAAAAGGTCAACTTTAAACAAAGGTAGAGGGCTAGAATACAAATGCTTTTTCGGAATGAAAAGTACTCACCTTTTTCCAAAAGCACTATAGAAAGCACTACATTGCTATATAAAGTAACAAGTATTTTTTGGAAGTGTGTAGGTATTATAAAATGTTTTTTAAGAATAATCAGCTCAGTAACTGTTACTGAGAAGATCCAAAATGTAGAAACTTTTCCTACCTTAACTGGTATTAAACAACATTAGCAGAGAAAAGAGACCATGACTTAAGATTGCAAAAATCAGTTTAACTTAAAGCAACATACATTTAAATATTCAGTATCTTTATAGCAAACTGAATTTTACCATTGTTAACCATATCTGGCTGTACGGAAAAATACAGTTGCTAAGAATTTTACTACCTGAATGTCTGTTACAGACTTGACATTTTTATAAAACTTGAAAGGACCGTTAGATGAAATATAATAGCACCTTTGATTTCTATGAATAATCAGTTATTTAATGGGGTTTTTTGAGTACTTCAGATGTATGCTACTATATTTAGGACGAGAAGAAAAGCAGCATGTGTGTAAATGGTAGTTAAAAACTGTTAGACTAGGTTCAGCTTTTAGGACTTTGCAACTTCTCTAAAACTTTGGCCCAGTGAGTGGGGGGAAAAAAAAAAATCAGATACTTCTGCATGACTTTATTTGTTCAGTCAGCTTTACTGCAACGTTGGAAGGCATAACAAAAAAAAGAAAAAGTGTCCTGTGCACAGTTCATTAAAAGACTTGTATAAATCTCTCTTCTTCCTGGTTATAAAGAAAATAATTCTAAACCAGAAACTCTGTGCCCCTCCATATGATCACCATGTATTTTACACTAAATTTGTTACAAAATCAGTAAAAGGAACTGGGGAAGTAGAAGATACTATAATTGATGCTATTTACACACACAAGAATTTGAGTTCTCTTGCTTTATTTTGCTAGGGAAAACACTTGCAACATTTAGGCTCAGTAACTTAGAGAAGAGAATAACTGTATTCATGATTTTGAAAGTTAATCTAGCAGAACAAAAAACTTGCTGCTAAGTAAGTGTTAGAAATTCTGCTGTGGCCATTTTGTCATTGATTTTTAGAAAGCATTTTAATTGGACTATGGAAGACAATAATATAGGTAAATCCTTGTTACTCGGTTCTTTTTATTCCAGTTGATTTTGTCACACATTTTCTAAATACATTCTTTTTCAACTTACTGACTGTTTGTAAGGAAACAGTCCAATATGTGATTACAAAACATGCATTTAAGCTATAAATGCAATTACAATTTAAAAAAATCTCAGGATTCAATAATGTGAGAAATAACCTGCTTTTAATGATTTATGTTACTTATAGGTCATTTCTCAATCCTATCTAAAATCCACATGTTAAAATACTACATGAATAAAATAAAAAGTTTCTATAGCCTTTCATTAACATTTCCACGACCACCTAATGATACACTTCCTGCCTACACTGGATGTGATGGAACAAAAGAATTTCTAAAATCAGATATTTAATCTCAAAACAAAGGAAAAGTCTGTAACACTGATTTGTACTCTACATTTGAAGTTTTCAAGTTTCTTTTAAGACCTGCATGCATTTGTGTGGGGTACCAGGTATTTCCAAAATCTGCATGAACTACTCAACACTTTTAATATAGCTCAACAATGAAAGGAATCACCATTACAAAAAAACCCATCCTAAAATAGCAAATAAACCATGCACAACTACTTAGAAACTGTGGTGTTTTCAACTATATCATTGCTTTTTACAAGTCCAGTCAACCAAATGATACATATCTAATTATCTTACATTAAGGTATAAGTTTCCATGAATTTATCTACCAAATTTTAATGTAAAAACAAACACACACCAACCAACCAAAAACAGGTTAAAAGGTTTTATGAATTTCCAACCAAAACAAAAGTTCATGAGTACTCAGCAAAAATTATACCTGTGCTCCCTCTACTGCATGAACCAGAATTAACATGCAACCTTTCAGGTACCGTTATGATAATTGCTGACAATGACATACAGAAATGGAAAATTATAATATGGGAAAAATAATACTTGTTTCTGTGTTTTAAAACAAGGATGAGGTAAATGCACACCTTCAATTTATTAGTCTAAGATGGAGTATGCATGCATACGTATGCATACATAAACATAGACAATATATACTTTTTTCTTTAAACAATATGCCAACTCTGCAACAAGTCCAAATCGTATCATTAATTACTTTTCAAATCAAGCATTACAGAATTTGTCATGAAAGACTGAGTTGTTACTTATTGTTGATGTACCGCTAAACTGGCAATTTTGTATATATATATTCAAATTCCTCTCCCGGAGCTAAGTAGAATGCTATAAAAATTTCATGTTTACAACTACAAAAGAGATTTTGTAGAACCCTAAATTTTGGCAATTGTTTAAAGCTGGATTAGTCCAACAAAAATGTACAGAATCCTCCTGTTGTATCTAGTTAGAGCATATTAAAATAGAAATAAAAATAGTGCAGGAATTGATTTTATGATCGTCATTGCATGCTTACTCCAACTATTTACAAACCAGAAAAAATATAATTAACTTGCATACAATGCACAAATACTTCTAATCTACTTCACGATTACATAAAGATCTTAGCTAGATTTTCAAAGAAACAATGATTTTATTAGTAATATTCAGATTCTAGCATAATTCCATACACAGACACAGAAGTAATTAAGAAGCTCAGATCATTCCTACTACTTTTAAATAGAATTCATAGAATCACAGAATATCTTGAATTGGAAGGGACCCACACAGATCATCAAGTCCAACTACTGACTCCACACATGGCAACCTAAAAGTTAAACCATGTATCTAAGAGCGTTGTTTTACTTCTTGTAAAAGACAGCTGGAAGAAATTAAAAGTTTCATGGATTGTTGGCTGATGAAAAAACAAACCAAGCTTGACTCACAGTGATTATATCACCTACATACTAAATAATACTACCTATTCATGAAAAGTTATTGGAAAAAATCTAAAGCGATACCTTAATTTTATTCCTCAACTTAGCACCAAGGAAAATTAGTTGATAACAGGCTCTTATCTGTTACAAAACTATTAATCCAAGGAACACACACTTGCTTTGCCTTCATGGTATTTTTCTTTCTTTTTTTTTTTTTTTTTAAAGAGCAGAATTTAAAAGTGTCTAGGAAGATGCACAGCTTTTACATTAACTTATTATTGCACAACTGAACCTCACTTGCATCATTCTGAATGTTATCAGTCCTTCTGAAGAAAAATTCACATTCCTCCACTGTTAGATCCAACAACATTCTGTTTCTGATACTTCACTTTCTGTGATAACTCGAGGTTGTTGTAACACTTCGCATCCCTTCCTCAAAATGTGTGTGTGTGCGTGTTTTTTTTGTAACACTATCCTCCAAAGAGCAAACTTCAGTCAAGCAATGAGTTCATAAGGTAGTACAAATCATTATTGTTCAATCAACATCAGCAATTGTCATCCAGTCTACTCAAGTCATACTTACCAATTAGCCATATTATCAGAAGATAGTCTATCCTCTCAAGGGCTGGTCCCATTGTATTCTTCTTATTCTCATTGTAGACAAGGGAGTACAAATTAAGTAATAACAGAAATGTGAAGTATGAAGCTCCATGAATAATAAACTTCATAAAAGGAGTGTGAATTATTCGACCTACTCGAGATTTAGGGGCTAACAAGTAACACAGGGACAGAACTGGCCAGAAAATGCCAACCATCAAAACAGTCAAAATTTTCTTGCATGTGTGCTTGCGCCGATAGCCTGCCATCTGTCCAAACCATACAGTGTTTAGAAACTGCTGGCAGTTAGACTGAGCAACAAACTGGAGGGGGGAAAAGAAATAAACAAAAAAAATCAGTCTCAGGTTTCTTAATACACATTACTAATTTACATTATTAAAACTAATTTTCAAACTATGTATAGTTAGCAATGAACAGGAAAAGGCAAGAATATTAAGTTGAAATAATTATCTCATAAGAGAACAAAAGTGCTATGGACTATGATTACAAACATCCAGTATTTTAATTTCCTTCTAAAGCCAGCAACTAAACATGAATTATACATACTAGACTTTTAATGGTTTTCAGGTTAAGAATTAGTTTTGATTTCTAATTATTTAGAAATCTAGCATATAAATAACATCATACTTCAGACAGCTCCATTGTCTGTTATTATAAAATACACCGACCTCATCCGAAGAATAAGATACTGTTATTGTAAAATACTATCCACATTGTAAAACACAACACCTTGTAAGATGAGGACTAAAGTGGCCAAGCAGTTTTATACATATCAGTTCTTAAAATCATTATGGCTCTATTCAGCAGCATTAATTTTCAATTGGAGTAAGCTATGTTGTATCAATTCCTCAAAAGAAGATCATTTTGGCCTGAAAGTTATATAGGTTATGCAAATGTAGTTTCAAATTTCAGGTGGCATGGAGTTACAAAAGAATGTATTTCACTAGAGGATGGTTTGTCATTTAATTTAAAAAATATCAACAAAACGAACCTTGATATTGTCATCATGTTTTAGAAAGCATCACAAAAAACTGTCTCTATAGTAAACTTGCCAGGAATAAAACACATTCTGCAAAAATACTTCCCTCATACCACATAAAAAAATGTTGTTCTCCAGCCACTGTGGTAAAAACAAGTTATGCTCAAAACCAGAAGAAGATCTGAAATATTTCAGTATGCTTGTTTAATGCATACCAGAAATGTCCATAACTACGGCTGATGACTTTTAAACACTATGTATTTTAACAGTTTCACAAACAGTTTAAGCCTAGGTATGTAGAACAGACAGAATTATAAAGCCTTCTACAAATGCTAACTGAAAATGGATTTTGCATGGAAAGGAAACTTTCTGTCTTCGGTCCTTGTACTAGAATCTCACAAATACCCATTTGCCTTCTGGTACAGCAAAACTAGAGTTATAATTTGTCAAGGGATAAAGACAACAATGACCAACTGCATAAAATAAGTTCCATACTGATGGCATAAAAAGGCACTACTATTCTGGAACAGAGGCGCTATTCAGTTATATCAGCATAGATCTAACATAATTACTGAACAGCACAGACGAGGCCTAAGCCAAAGCTAATGACAAGCAAGAAGATGATAAATCATGTACGGCACCTAAGGATCCATACTTCCCAAAAAAAATCCCTACACAAGGATTTAATGAGGATCTGAACAAAGAATTACCACTACCAGAGCTGTTCATAAAAGAGCAGTAGTCTATACTCCAATACAGAAAATACTACATTCTTCTCCACAGTAAATACTGAAGAAACACTCAGTATCTCGCATCATTTCCCTGTTTCACATGCAGATGTTCCGTGTATTACCATCTCTTCTATAACTCTCGCAAATTTATTTCCACTTCTATGTCTAGAGGCAGAACAACAAATTAAATTAATTACTAGCAAAATATGATATGGAAAGCCTATCAAATTACTGCAAAGACAAACCTCTTTTTGATTATACTTGATTGCAAGTTTTAAGCGGCTTAAGTTCATCCTCTCTTCCAACAATCCTCGCTTGTCTACATGTTCATCACTAGATGTGTGATTCAGAATAACTTCCAGCTCCCGTGAATTCCGTGCTTGTGCAAGCAAATCTTTAGCAAAGGTTTTGCACTGTTGAGCTAGCTCCTCATAATCATTTCTGAAAGACACAGAAACAGTATGTAGTATTACAGTGCTTACATATTTTCCATTAAACCATTAACTATCCATTTGTGGTTGGGGTTGTATGTTATGCTAAGACAAATTAAAAAACCACAAAATCCCAACAGTCATATGTCAAAGTCCAAACATTTCAAAGACAACTCTGAGTAGGTTTCACCATTTAACATGACAATTATGCTTCAGTTTAGTTTGCAACTCCACTAGACAGAGAAAAATTGAGAAACAGACTTACAGTATACTAATTCTTACTTATGAGTTCCATATAAAGAGTTAAAGCTTAGAATTATTCCAGGATATGAGAAAGTGTAGTAGTCACAAAATATGGCACTGGTAAGTCATCACTTGGACTTTCCACTTGGAAGGGAAGTTGTTTTGGGTTTTGCTTTATTCCTGTCACCTGAAAAAGTCTATTCACTGAATACTATTTATTAATATAATAAACACAAGAAAAGAAACAACATGATTTGCTGGTCTCACCTGGCACACAATTTTTTAGTGCCAAGTTGTATCACAAAAATGCAACAGGTGAACTCTTATTAGACAGACAATCAGCTATAAAAACAGAAAATGCATATGTTGTTTAGGAAAGTAGAATTTTACCCCATACAAACATTTGCTTTCATGTCCTCAGAAAGCTTTTGTGCTGGTAACTTTCAAGACAGTATAAACCACTACAGTTTAAACATAACATTATATTGAGCATTTGTTCATTAAATAGACAAGGCATTTTCAGCACAAAATCTTCTACATACATATGCATATTATATACACACACACACACTGTTCAGAGTCTTATAATACAAGGAGCAAAATTAAGAAACAATACCCGAAACAACTCCCAACATGAGTCAGGTCAGTATAAACAAGGTATTGCATACTTCTACCCTGATGCAGGGGAAAAAAAGTGCAGAGTACTAATGAGATATTTATAAGATTAATAGGTGTGTGATCTTAAAGTCAGCATTTAGCATCGTTTCTACTTGTTTTTCGAGAGTAGAGCTGAAATTTGAACTGTTGGTGCAACTATACATATTGAACTGTCTACACCTAAAAGAATTAAAGTAATTAAACTGTCATAATGACTGCTAATGAGGCATAAATTATATATCTTTTTATTATATCTAACTATCAGTTTAAACACTCCAGTTACAAAAAATTAAGAATAAGCCTTTTCTGATGCATACACATTTCTATACATGTAACCTCATAAAAGTATTAAAGTTGGCTTGTGTTTTCAATTCCTACCTGAATTCAACCTCAACAAGGCTCAATTCTTTCAAGTCTGCACTAAGTTCAAAAGCTCGCAGGATTGGATCCTCCTCTGTCAACATTATTAAAGCAGGACTGGCCAAACACCGATAGATATCAAGACGAAACCTGTGATAAAAGAATAGCAAGCAAAATGAAGATGTTTCATTTGATTAGCAGTTTCAGATCAGAACCTATTCCAAAAGTTTGCATAAAACAGTCGGCTGAAAGAGAAAACAATTGCGTTTCTTAAAATCAGACAATACAAGCATTAAATGTGATATGTCATGGAAGATACTGGCCTTCACATATTTCGAATCCCTATTCTAAGTACCAAAAATTGGCCAAACTGGTTCCCTCTTCCTCACTACTTCAACTGTTATCAGTGCATCAGCAGAAGGCCATCAGTTAAGGTAATAGTATTGGAAAAAATTTGATATTTTAAGTGTTATACAGTAGCTTTTATGGTTCTTCAAGTGGAAATAAGAGAGGGAAGTAAAGCATTTAAGGCGATCTTCTATTTTAACAAACTAAATTAAAAACAGTCGGGAACTTTAATGTGCAATACAAAAAAAAATAAACTCAGGGAAAGCATCTGAAGGAATGTTTTCCTCTTGCAAAACCAGCAACTCATGAACACTGAAACAAAGTCTGTTATCTGTTCTAGTTCAAACTAAGAGCTGTCATCTCAAACATTTCTATTGTTGTCTTGGGATACCCTGACACCTTTTCTCATACTGAAGTTAATGACATGGGGTATTCAGATGTATACCTGAACGTGGCCTGTAGTAGCTGAATACCAGTAACAATTACCCTTTCACTTCCCTTATTTTTCAGTAATTCGGACACATACTGGAGTAATTACGTAATAATTAATTGTATATTGTAATTGCGATCCACTTACGATCTTTGAGCTCTGTGATTTTTCACCCCCACTCTCACATATTAAATTGTATTCAACCCTCAAATATGTTGTCAAGTTAACCAGACAAAATACTGTTAAGATTGGTAAATCCTTCTCCTCATTTGAACCTTTATTAAAAAGCTTTCTACTTTCAAAAATACCGAAGAAAAAAAAAACAAAAAAAACTTGTCTTTAGCTTGCATTCATCAATCCACGCTACATAAACACTTTTAGAAACAGTATACAGAATTATCCACCTCCTTATTCTGGCTCAAGAAAACCCAAGTATTAACTAACTTAAGAAAAATTTATTTGCATAGTTCCTATGCTCCCAAGCCAAAGATAGCTGGAATGTTTGTGACACAACTGATAGAAAGGAAAGGCACTTAGCTTAATATGCACAGTGACTAAGTATAAAACCACAATGAAAAAAAAGCCACTGCCTCCCACCAGCCTTTTCAAGCACAACCCATCCCCAAGAACTACCATCTCTCACAATAAAGGCTACAATATATTAAAGGAATCCACTCACAAACCTCACCCTAAAGAGAAAAAGGAATCTGACCCAAGCAATACCAGAGAATTAAGACAATAATTTTTTTCATTATTGTCTATAACTAGTAAGTCTTACCTGGAGTGTCGTAGACTATCTTTTTTGTTCTTTGCAGTACACAGTGTGCATTCGCAGCCTACAGCATGAGGTTTGGGTAATGATATATCTTGCTTTAACAGCATGGTAAGAATTTCATAGTTGTTACGATGAGCAGCTAAAATGACAGGTGCCACATCCATTGTTGTCGAGTACTCTGGGTTCTGAATGCGTTCCATCAGTTTCTGGAATAAAACGTAGGAAGTATCTAAATTTATTACATACAGTTCTACTACAGTGTTTGCACGTAAGGGGTTTTTTGACTGTACAACAATGAATCTCCCCTTCAAAATATCTTCCTGTGTTTCATAACATGAAAATAAGGAAAAATTTGTAACAACATTCAAACACCTCCCAGATAAATACTGGAAAAATAAAAATGGACACAGAAATTTTTCTGGTTTATTTACATAGAAAACCTGACATTCAGTGCCTACCTTCTCCAATATACATGCATGATATCAAAAAGTGTCGTTTGAGAAAAAATTATTGTATTTACTACCTAAGCGCAGAAAAAATATCCCAACTGTACCATACTCTGTTACAAAATGCCTTATTCCTTCCCTCCCTCCACCTCTATTTGTGAACTTTTAGAAGTTCTTTGATACTTAAGCATTGCCAAGATAAGCTTCACCTGATTAATTTCAAGGTGAAGATTTGCTGTTTATAGATTTACTCAAAAAATCTATGAAGCTTCAATACATGAATATACCCGTTACAGGCCAAGGCTGCTAATTACCTTGCAAACAGTCTACAAGAAAAGATTTATAACCACTCTATATTTTTTCTCTTCTGGACTAATGAGGCATCTGTTAGCATTTGGCACGTATAAAGCCACTGGATTCCTTAGGCAGTAAAGAAAAATAACATATTCTATCCTTTAAGACAAAAGAGGTTATAAAAATAATCCCTAATGTGCAGATTCTATCACCTCAGACATGTAGAACTTCATTTAAGAATGTTGTTTTAAATACTACGGTTACCCAAAATGCAATAGCCCCCACTCCCCAGCCAAAAATCAAGGAGTAACAACACTCAACTACAATGGTTGGCCTGGAGGATCTTTTTGGTCGGTGATTAAGTAGAATGTCAACAGCTCCCACCACTTCCGAGTCAATAGCCACCAAAAGTGCATCCGATGACTAAGGAAAGAAAACAAGTCATATGTGAAAACAGCAGTAACTTAAACAACATAAAGAGTCAATCTGAAGCCAGACTGCATTTTTACTTTTTCATATTTTATTTTTTAATTTTTTTTTTAAAGTACTAAAACAATGTTCTGTATTATCACCACGCATATGATCAGGATACAAATTCAGGTTGTCATTCCAGGAGTTAGCATAGCATTACTGACAATTTGTTTCATTGCACGAACAGCAGAACCAATTGCAGAAATTAATTTCCAGCAAAGATGATGCAGGATACTTGCAAAAATCAAGTTCTAAGGGACAGTTCACCAGGTTATTAAAAATGTTAAAAGCAAGTATCTGTCTAACACAACTCAGGCATATGGGATACTTCATTCTGTGGTAAAGCTAGGAACACAAGCTTTTTTTTCTGGGCTGGCAACTACTTCTGAAACTTCTCTTAAGTTGAGCTAAGCAGCTTTTCTTTTTCCC